GGTTGTACGCACCCAGATGAAAAGAAAAAGGTAAAGCTTAATTAGTGACAAAACATGGATTGTGTTAATCAATTAATTATTTTGATTAATCAAAGGATTAACCATCATTATCCCAGTACTAGAGACGATGGAGGCATATCCAAAGTTGTAAAGGTGAACAAACATTACAATAATGGGCAATATGGTGACAAAAACTTTTTACTGGGGGAGCAGTCTGGTTTTATTATAAACTTAAAAGTATAGTTTATTTGATTTGGGCCTGTCTAGCCCGAATATCTTGGTGCTTTGCCTTGAGGAGGCCCTTACTGGGGTCACATACAAGCTGTGGAAAAGGACCCATAAATTAACATTAATAAGGTTTAACTATTAATTAATTATGCGAAACAAAAAGATTATAATTTTACTAATTGTGATTTAGTATTACATTTTGTTATTTCATGTAAAATTATTGTCATCTTATATTTTTAAATTTTAATTAATATAACTTATAATTTTCGTACGGTCACATTTAGATCTCAAATACACATATATCATTTAAAAATTAGTAGCAATTAACTGATGATCAATTAATGTCGGTCTGTCTCCCTGAAATACCAGTATATAAAGGTAGTAATATATACATATATTAAATATTTTTTTAGTAAGCAGTTCTTATTTGGTATTGTGATTTAATATATTTTTAATTCAAATATTTTTTTAAAATATATATATATATATATATATATTTCATTCATGTTTAATATAGGATAAAAAAAGCTCATCATGCTTCTTCACTAAAATTAGAAATACAAATTCCCACAGGCTAACAGAAAAGCTAAAATACTAGATATATATATATATAATGTTACAAGGAATCTCAAAACTCTTAATATGTTACACCACATTGATCTTACTAGGAATCAAAACTTTCTTTTCTCTTTCAAGTAATTCTCTAACTACAAATTTGATCAATTATTATTTCAATTTTCTGTTGTTTTTATTTATGCATACACTTGCCGCCCAAGTTATTATCTTCACCATCATCGTTTTCCTTCATTTTCCCATCACTATTTTTAGTAATGACAATACTCACAAGCTTACAAGGCTCTGCTTCTTCCAACATCTGAACCACCCTCCTCATAGTAGGTCTCAGTGTCGGCAGTCTAGTTGTACACAGAATTGCAATCCTCAGCACTTTGACAGCTTCTTCTCTAAAAACATGTGGAATATTTGAGTCGACAAGACTCAGTACTTCCTCTTTTGTTTTCAATTTGCTGCAAACCCAATCCACTAAATCTTTGTTCTCTCCCAACTCTGGCTCTATTGGCCTCTTCCCTGTCACCAACTCCAATAATACCACCCCAAAACTATACACATCACTCTTTTCATTCACTTTATACGTGTATCCATACTCTGTTAATATCAATATAATTGGTTAAACAAAAATCCAAGTATTAAGTTAAAAAAAAAAACAAATAATAAATGGGTTTTACCAGGAGCAATGTAGCCGTGGGTTCCAGCAATGACATGAGTTGAGTCTTTCCCTGCGTTGACTTGAACAATCTTTGCCAGACCGAAATCTGCAATTCTCGGCTTCAAAAACTCATCTAATAAAATATTACTTGATTTTACATCTCTGTGAATCACCGGTCTCTCGCATCCATGGTGTAAGTACTCCAGACCCTTCGCCGCGCCGACGGCTATCTCGTATCTTGTCTCCCAGTCAATGGCCATTTTTTTGCAGCCATGCAGTCGATCCCACAGACTGCCATTAGGCAAATACTCGTAGACCAACAGGCTCGAATCCTCACTCTAATGCTGCAATACAGCTTCACCACGTTCACATGTCGGATGGAACTCAGAGTCTGCACCTCTGCGTCAAACTCTTTCGATTTCCCCCCTCGTTTTCCGATCATCGGAGACGAGCTCCGGCTCTTTTTCCGGTCTGGAACGTTGTGATTCCATATGTGTTTGACGGCGAGTTCTTTGCCGTTTGAGAGGAGGACTTTGTAGACGTTGCCGGAGCCGCCTTTGCCAATTAAATTATCTTGTTTAATGGAATCTAGAATCTCGTCTTCTGTGAAGGTTAAGACGTGGAAAGATTTCACGTCCCATGATTCTTCTTTTAATGAACGTTCTTCATCCTTTTCGCGCTTCTTTAAGTACATGAAACATGCGAGGGAGAGGAGGAGGACGATGATGCCACTTGCGAAACAGAGGATGAGTATACGGACTTCTTTGGACATGCCGGAATTCGGCGAGCATCGCCGGAACGAGCTGACCGTTGAGCTGCAAAGACCTGGGTTACCGACAAAGCTGCCGTTATATGCTTCAATGGATAGAGATTGCGGTATACGACCGGATAATCTGTTGTGGGACAAATCAAGAAGGCTTAGTTTCAGAGATGATAAAGTTTCCGGGATTTCACCGACGAGTTTGTTATCCGACAGATTCAGCGAATTTATCGTCGGTAAAGATCCTAACGAATATGGGATTTCGCCGGTAAACGAGTTCTGAGCCATGTTCAGGTCGGTTAGAGAGCGACAAGAGCCTATGGTCTCTGGTATGGAACCAGAGAACATGTTCATCTGCAATTTTAGACTATTCAGTTGTTTAAGTTCACCAATTGACGCCGGAATCTTGCCGGAAAACTGGTTATTGTTCAGCTCCACGGCAATCAAAGACTCTGCTTTTGATATCTCTTTCGGTAGCTCGCCGGATAACTTATTGTACCCTACAAACAACTGGTCGAGAGCTTTCGCGTTCTTGATATCAGAAGTAATCGGACCTTCCAGCTGATTCAACGCGATATCGATTATATTCAATTCCGGCAATCCCCAGATACCCGCCGGGACGGTTCCTGACAGGGAGTTGTTGCTGACTCTGAATCTCTTTAAGGTCGAGCAGGTAGCATACGTCGCCGGAATCTCGCCAGTGAATCTGTTTTGAAGGATGAGAAGCGCGTTCATCTTCCCTTTCTTGCACATATCAGCCGGAATTGGACCCGTTAATAAATTTTCGGATACGTCAATGAAATCAAAATCAGCCCAGGAACCCAACTGGGGTGGCAGAGAACCTGTCAATCTGTTTGAGTAAAGAGAAAGGTTGACGAGATTTTTGAACTCGCCCAACTCAGCCGGGACATCGCCGGTGAACTGGTTTTCAAACAACTGGAGAGATACAAGATTGATCAAGAACCTAACCTCTGATATATCTCCTTCAAGATAATTAGAAGAAGCATCAAAATACTGAAGACCCGTAAGGTTTCTCAGTCCAACAGGGAGCTTCCCTGTCAACTGGTTATTATAAAGCTCAAGTTGCCAGAGATTTTTCAGATTCCCAATCTCCCCCGGGATCTCTCCGATCAAATTATTATCCGACAGCTCCAAGTTCTCCAGCTCTGTAAGGTTTCCGATACCCACCGGAATTCTCCCGCCGATACTGCAATTTGACAGATACATCCATTTCAGCTTGTAGAGATTCACCACCTCGTTTGGGAACGGAGAAATATCAAATGGATTATCCCCTAAGCTCAGCACACCAAGGCCCTTCATGTTTTGCAGAGACTTCCATGGGAAAATCCCAGAAAACCCACTGTTATTCAAATATAGAAAGCGTAATTCGGTCAACGAAGAAATATCAGGAAACGACCCGGAGAAGAAATTGTTACCCAGATCCAAGTACTGTAGCTTAACACAGTTATTCAAGTCGTCGGCGACTGTTCCAAACAGGGAATTGAACCCTAATGCGAGCTTATCCAAGAACTGAAGCTGACAAACGGAATCGAGAGGAATAATTCCGGTCAAACCTCGTTTCGAAAGCTCGATTTCTTTAACAAACCCATCGGAATTGCAAGTGATTCCGGTGAAATCGCAGGGAGATTTACCGGAATCCCATGAATTAAAGACATTAGTGTTGGATTTCTGGAAAGCTGATTTGAGTTTGAGTAAGAGTTCGAGTTCGTCCGAATTGACACCAGAGAGGAAGAGAATGATGAAGATGAAGAAGAGGTGGCAGAGGAGGAGTCTGTGACTTGAGGAAGGCCCGCCCGTTGACATAGCGGCAAGTGAAGAAAGGAGACTAGAAGAATGTGTTCTGGGTTAGAAATGAAGAAGAAGAAGAAGAAGAAGAAGGTGGAAGAAGAAATGAGGTGACGTCATCGTAAGCGTGGCGGGCGGATTCACATTGTTTGGTTGCTGGATTATTTATAAGACTTGGGATATGGAGGTTTCTGTTGTAAGCATAATTGTTTTGCTTAGAAATCACTGCTACTAATGGCTCCTTAATTAACTCCTGCATTTATATATTCCATTAGCTGTAAGTAAAGACTTACGAGTGAGATTATACGACTTCAAAAAAAAAAAACAACAATGATACATTTTTAATCAAATTGTAAAAAATATAATATAAAAATATCATAATATAAAAAGAGTATTTATAACCGTTGAATTATATGGGGATCCATGTATTTAATTTTAACAAGCTGTTTAGAAGAAGAGAGAGAGAAGGAAAAAAAAAGAGAACTACCCAGTAATTCTGTAATATTTTTATTGCGGAGTGGGGCCCACTGAGTCAACGGAGATAAGAAGCAGCCACCAGGATGGGCCATTGACCCCTACATCCGGAGACAATAGACATTGCCCCTCTTCTCTAGTGGGAGGGAGAGTGATCGACCATAAAAATCTTATAATTTTTTTAAAGAATATAAGTCTCTAAATATATCTTTTTTATTTTCCAAAAGTAATATTCTGTTTAATCAATTAATATCTCATAAACTTGCTTCTCTTTTCTTTTCTTATTCTCTCTTTTTCTCTTGATTTTCATTTTTTGTCATCTCACCTTCTAATGAACAATGGAAATCAACCCAGCTTATGATTTAAGAGATTAGGCAAAAAAAAAAAATAATCAAAACATCAAATATTATCGACTTAAAACAATTTACAAGCATAAACGTTATTTTTTAAATATATAAATAGATTGTCATATAATTTAGTTCAATTGAAATAAAGCATGAAAATTAATTTCACGAGTCAACTATGATATTTACAGGTTCTTAAAACTAAAGTTGATGCAGATGATGAATTATACATGCATGCATACGTTTGATGGACAATGAAAAGAGCCTTATATGAAAATCATAGAGACTCACTTTAGTTATTAAAGTTGTTTTGATGAAAACTTGACTTTCATTTATTTGAATAAAGGATCATATTAGCTAAAGGGTTCTTTTAGTACATTAAGTTAAGATTAATACAAATAACTCATTTAAGTGTTTTGATGGTAATGTTTTTGCTGGTGGCCTCATCACATATAATAAAAGCAAGTGACTTGTTGGTTTCACATGCAACATGAGTTAGTCACCCCATTACAGGTGCAATTGAAACATAAATGTTTTTGGTACATTTGTGTTAATCATCATATTTGTTGCGTACGTGAACGTTCAGTGGCATTGCCAAACTTATTTCCTTGGATGACCTTACCCACTTACTTTAATTCGATTATTCTGATACAATAAGATTCGTATAATGAGTTATTAATCACTATTTAATTTTTATTTTTTAATTGATAAAAAAATAATTTTTTAATATATTATGCATCCATATATTTCTAATTCTCATGTTGTCACTTATTTTTAATTTTTACCAAGACTTATTATTTCTAAGACTGTTTTTGCTTCAATTGTTTTTATTTTTTCAAAGAGTTGATAGTTATGCATTAGTATGTTTTTTATTTAAGTAGTCTTCTTTTTGCAAATTATTAATTGAACACCATGGTTCAGTCCTTATTAATTTAGTGATGATTACCTATGAATTTTTTGTCATTTAGTTTGTGTTAACTAAATCAATGATAAATAAGATATAAAATTAAATTAAAAATTAAAATTTTATTGAAACGACACTATAATAAAAGTCGTAATACATAAATCTTCTATGCATATATAATTAACCGGTTCAACATTTTTAAAAGTCATAACTCTTAAATAAAGAAATAGAAATAAATATAAATTATGCTGAATTAATTTGATTATTTCAGTTTTTATTTTTTTTTTGTACTCCATGATTTGAGCGTATTCTTATGTATTTTTAATGCTAGTGTTTATCCATATATATTTAATTAATTTTCATATTTACTTTTTTAACTTATACATTTTAAAACCAATAATTTAATTAATAAATTGTTGAAATAATGTTTTCAGAGATTCTACAAACTCTGATTTTTTAGTAATAATTTTTCACAAGGCATAAAAACCAACTAGTAGCAGGGATACAGAATGATAACCGATTCAATTCTTTTCGTACAGAAGAATTGTGGATTGAAATTGTTATGTAATAAAAATATTATTAGCAAAATATTAACCATCATCATGCACATAACTATAGTCAAATGGAGCAATCTTAAAAATTTGACCCTGCAAACTCAATCTAATATTGCTTTTCAGTTAAAATTCAAACCAAGTCCAGGTTTAGTGATTAGATAAAAGTGAAGTGAGGCGGGTTTGTGTTTGACTTGCTAAAATTTGATCGTATCATATAAATATTTTATTTATTTTATATAAATAAATAAAATATGTTATATTAATAGATATAATTATATTTATATTAAACATGTAGATATTATTTGTAATTTTACACAATAAAATGACCAATTCGAACTAATAGCTTGTAAATCCTTTGTCTTTTATAAAAGCATATTAGATTAAGTTTGGTGAGACTTATCCTGAACCCATTATTATATTGCAATCTCTAAATTTATATACCAAAATACTTTTAGAAGAATCAAATATTTGCTTTGTTATTAAATTAATTATTATTTGTGACTATGAATCTTTATTTTTTAAAAATAAAAAAAGGAAGCAACGGCAGTAATTAAATTAGTCTTGTAAGTTTCTGTAATCAGAAGAATTGAATATACTTATTACCTAATTTCACTTTTTCACAACTGAAAAATGATAATAAGAGCCAATACAATATATATATATATATATATATATTTATTATTATTTTCAATAGAAAAGTTCAAGTAATAAATCCAACAATGGAAAATGAAATTGAAAATGAAAAAACTCAAACTGTCATGATTCGTAAAGGGAGAACCAGAAAATAACACGTTCAAAAGTTGCATTCGTGTAAAGATACTTCAACAAAAAGGAAACTCATAAAACTCTCCCCTATTGTTATCGTGTATTTGCTATGGACACACCAAATCAGGAGTGCAGATAGCAAAACAAGGAAGTGCCCGAACTGGATATTTTCTTCTATTTTATATCATCGTGTGGAGGACAGTCGGTGTAAACACGGAAAATTCAAGCCGCCTACGTTGACTTTATGCTTTTTTGTATTCGTTTGCCTCCCCCAAGTGGCAGAAAGAAAAACAACACGTGGATAATGTTATCGCAATCTAATTTGACGCTGACTCCAGATTTCGAAGAGACCAAATACTCGCCCATTAGGAGCGTGTTGCGTTACTTAAATCGCCAGAATTTAAAACTATATTCGCCTATAATTCCATTATAAATAAATTATAACCATTAATATTATTTTCTATACCGGTTGCCTATTGATAATGAAAACATAGTTTTACACGCTCAAATTTACACTTGGAAATTTAAAAAAAATAAAAATAAATAAAATATTAATCATTAAATTAAAAAATAGTTGAAAATTAATTTATTAAATTAATTAAATAAATATTTGAATAGTGTTTCAGTAAGAATTATATATATATACAGCAGCTTCACCAATTAATACAAAATTTTTGAAATTATTTATATAATATAAAAATATAAAATTATCTGTTTTCATCATTTAAATAATTACTCGTTAATTTTCTTTTAAAAATTTGTAATGTATAATTATTAGGTGCGGTTAATATAATTTTATAGAAATTCAAATTTTTTACATCATAATTTTATTTAAGAGTGATTATTATACTCCATATTAAATGAATCTTATCCATCACTATTTAATTTTCTCAAAAGAAAATTTATTATCACTCATTTAATTTGATTATATCCTATTTTTTGATGTGTGCATATTTATTTTTATTTGGAATAAGAAGATTTCACGTGTTCATTGAATCTTTCTAGAAATGCGAGTGCATACACGCGCTGCTTGTTTGTTTGGTTGTGTGTTTTTATTTATTTATTATTATAATTATTAATTTGAAGTTAATTGTATGCGAGTGAATATTTGGAAGATTTTGTTGCTTCGTTGGCAAGAGGGGGGCCTGAGCCTAATCATTTTGGTTAATTCCCGAGAGAAATAATTAATTATTATTTACATTCAAGGAATCTTCACTCACTCGTAAATAATTATTATTTGCTTTTAATACACGTGTGCAGCTGTGGACCCATTACGACTGGTGAATTATCCCAGTAAATATATAAAAATAGCATATAAATGATAATATTTTGCATTAGAAAAAATATAATTTTAATCGTATTTTCCAAAATTTTACATTTTCAAATAACTTCAAATACATATGACGACTAATTATTATTGTAAGCAACCCAAATTTATAATAGTTCTGTTTTAGTTGTAACTTAAAACTAATATGAACTCATCCAATCAGTTTTAATAGGCCACAAATTGTCAATCATAAAAATTAAATTCAAAATAATCTCTAAAAATTTTAATATTGATAATTTAAACGATGCATATTTTAAAAAAATATTGTATAAATTTATAAAATCATTTTCAACATCATATAAGTTGTAATTTCGAGCTTTGATTTTTAGATGTTCAATACGAAAATCGAAATATATGTAATTCAAACTATCTCATATAATATAAACTAAAGAATCTTAAAATTGAATATACATCTAGTTTAATAATCGAACTTTTTTTATTAATATTAAAACCTGGTAAAACAATGCACATAAGTTACAATTTCGAGCTTTGATTTTTAGATGTTTAATACGAAAGTCGAAATATATGTAATTCAAACTATTTTATATAATATAAACTAAAGAATCTTAAAAATGAATATACATCTAGTTTAATACTCGTACTCGAACTTTTTTACTAATATTAAAATGCGGTAAAACAATGCACATAATTATTGCATGATAGTACATTCAAATTGCAAGCATTGTATTAAACCATACTTTTAATGCTTATAGGGGAAAAAAAAATACACCCTTAACTATTACGTTACCTAAACTTCATACATAATTATTCGATTACAATTGAATTAATCTTTTAACTATAGTAACTGAGATTTGG